TGCCCAGGGCATAGCGCTATCAAGTATATAAAGAAGTCGTCGCCGTGGTAGCTTATTTGCTCAGCGACAGGATACGGTAGGTCGTACTCGTACCTAGATATACCTCACCTTCTCAATCACTCACTACCTGTCGAAAGCGCGCAGACTCGGCCACCGTTTTTCGTTCCCGCGCAGATCTTTCAGCAAAGTCTACTGTTTGCCGAAAACTACGGAGAGGGACAACTGTAGTAGCCTGGTAGATCGGGAACGCGAAGAATAAATCAGCGATAATCAGGTAGCAAAAAATCAAAGCCGCGTGATGATAGTCCATGTCAATCTGGAGCTCTGTCATTCAAGCGAAGAGAACGAAAAAGCGGTGTTGGATGAGATACAAAAATCAGAAAAGGAAGAGAAACAGAAGACTAGTAGATAATGTGGCATTCGTCACAAAAACTTCAGCGAGACTGAAGAGATGAACGCCCAACGTGATGCCTGCCGACTACTTGATGCATTCTAAGGAATTTCGCGCTACTAGTCGAGTTTCCTGCAGCCCATAGCATGGAATTTCTGACCTCCGGCACGCTCCGACCGGGACAAATCCAGTACAAAATTGTGTAACAGTGTGCAATGTTGTGTTCATTTTTGTGCTAATAATTATACGTGGACAGGGAGCTTAAATATGATTGGTTGAGGCAAATTGATTGTCCATGTGTGCGTGCTCGAAAGCAGGATTATACGTGCTAATCTGCTTCACTTCATCGTAAATTGTGCCAACGTGTTAATCTACCACGACACGTGAACTGTGGAAGACTTGTACATGATGGTGCTTCAATGTATACGCACGTGCACCCGTGTCCATGTATATCCATACGCGCGTACTTGACTGCGAATTAACCGTTATGTTGTATTCAATGGTAGGTAAGCGGCTTCATGTTGGACTACATGCCGCCCATGTGCTATCCAGATGGTTTAACCGTGGGTAAATGGTGTACAGCGTGGTTGCTGTGTTCGACAAAACGCTGGGCATCAGTGATGGTATTACTTGACACATGTACTTAAGCTGCTGGCTGCTCGGGGTCCGTGTGTCAGGTGCCCATCGGTCTCGACATTGTCTATATTCCGCCCAGCAAGCAGTGGATGGCGTATAATACGATTTATCGGTCGTCGACAATGAGAATACGCGTGCTGTACGTATGACGAGTTAATAGTTGGTGGAGCCTTTTCGGTGGATGCTGTGACTACAGTGAAGGTAGTGCCGTAGATGGGTGGGTGGGTGGCAGGTTGCTCACTATGCGTGACGTTCTTTTTGTGGCTACGTGAACAGGATGGGCTTCGACCCGTACGTCGAGTGCGATCCAACGACCCACGTCAAGTACTCGCATTCTTCCGGGCTGAAGAAGATCATATCAGAGTACGCGAAGTTCGGCTATTCTCGTCCTATCATGTAAAGAGAATTTGTTTGCGACAAGGGCGTGAAAAATAGTGACTGCTACGGGAACCAGCGCATGTTCTACAATGTAAGGAGGGAGAGAAGAGAGTGTAAAATGCTGTGAATATAACAAAAGTGAAAAAGATCTTGTTTCGTGTGAGTGGACCAAGTGAATGAACAAGGAGAAGGGGTGACCTACGAGATCGTGGGTGGCAACGTGTTTGGGTAGACTACAGAAGCCGCCAACTTCGTTGAAACCAAGAGTAAGCTTTAAAGTGGTGAATATGCATGTGGTTGGTCGGAAATTCGGCTCTAATCATTGATAATTGATGCGTGTTTGTAGCTCTGACCACAACTGGCGTCTCAAGTAACAACGGTGTCGGATATATCCAGTCGCAATACAGCGACAAGAAGACGACCATGTGCGAGTTCAATCCGTACATGATGTATGACAACCGGAAGAAAGTGTACACGACGACGGAGAGTTCGGCCTTCTAGCACGACAATGACGCGCCATCACGTGATACGATTCTGTCATGTCCAAGAACATTATGAGCGAGCTGACCCCGACGCTTAAGAGTGAAATGGATTATTGTACTATCCTGTATATACGCTGTATCATGAGAGTCAGGACGAGCTAACGCGTCTCGCCGATCTTGTTCATATGTACTTGTTGTATTTCTCATTCTTTAGTGCGGTAGCACTTAGCCGGTATACACTGGAGTGAAGACCAACATCTATGGGTACTGCGAGGTGGTAATTAATTCGATGATGTTTGTAGTATGCGCAGGTGCTGGATCTACAATGCGCACAGCGGCTTAAAGTTGTCTGTATCGTTGTACGTGTTTAATTAGATGACCAGCTTTGTGCAGCTTGCTAGGACTTGAGGACGGTTTGGGCTCTGCGGGCTTTGATGTTGTGCTCGCCAAGAAACGAAAGTAATTGCATTTCGGCGACATCGCCAACTCCAACACATCGTCTCGATATTGTGGAGACTTCTCATCAAGCACGAAGCCATTAGCAAGAAACATCTTCGTGAATGCAGCACCAAGTTTGTCGGTGGATTTTGTGTGCTTGCTCAAGGTATCAAACGAATCCTAAAGGCGGGGTTCCTGGGTATACCAGGAGAACCAGACGTCCTTCAAGTTTGTTGACGAACTCTTTCTGCGACGTTTGGCTGGTGGTTCTTTGCTATTATCTTCACTTCTTTCATATGTAGTTTTTGGGTGTGCTTTGTTATAGACATCAGCTTCAATCATCGAGACGCGAGATTCGAGCTTTTGGATGACCTTGTTTAACTGTTCAATCAACGAAGCTTGACGAATATATCTTGGATGCTTTGTGATGTCGATCGTGCTGTCTGAAGCCTTGATGGGATTTGGTTGCATATTTGCCTTCGTGTAGTAGATTAGATGTGAAGACCAAGCTAGAAGATCGCTGACGGAGTAACCTTGCTGGATTACACACGCTTCCAAACGTGCGACTAGAAGTCCGTCTTTTTTAATCTGCCTTAACGATGAATTTTGAAGCAGCAGGTAAGTGATAAGCGTTTCAATCACTCTTTCGTTCACGTTGTATTGTGTATTCATGAGCCCTTGAGATGCGTTGAAGAGCGCTGTCGCAACAGTTTGTATCTTTGTCTGCGTACCGGAGTCGAAGACATCAAGTGATAGGAGAGATACGTCGGTATCGAGGTGTCGACCACTCAACACCCGGGCAACCTTATGGTCTTCGGAAGCTGTATTAAAGACGTACGCGAAGGCCTTGTTCGTCACTGTCATATTCCAGGCGCCTTGGTCGAAGATCCACTGTACACAGAATCCAGACCCATTTTCATGCTGCGCTCCTCCGCACCGAAAAGAGTGAGATGTCAAGCGCTCGGATACGCCAGCAGATGCAGCGACCTGATCAAGAACACGGTTGACGTAGCTGTGCACACCAGGAGCGGTATCTGGGCAGTTGTCCTTCTCAGTAGCGGTGGAAAATATATCCAATGAAGACACCACAACCTCTGGGTGATCGATCAAATCGATGAGCGGAGTCGCTGGAGCTAATATGGACTTTGAAATAGCCATCTGCTCAGGAATTTGACTCAGCACGGATATAGTTGGCGATGAGCGGGTCACGAGGGCGAGAGCTATGAAAAGCAGAGGGCATGTGGTGAAGTCTTCGTCAGGGAAAAGTGATAGACATTGCTCTTCAGAAATTTTGGTCCGGATGAATCGGACGAAGAATATGTCGCCCGAGCCGATGGACAGGTTAGCCTTCCGCAGCATTATGAGGTCCGATGCACGCCCAAAGAGGTACCAAAGCAGACACAACAGCGCCGCATCTTGGTCAGCACTAGTAACCGTAGCTGAATACAATTAATCCATCATTTTCTTGAGAGAAGACTTTGTGCATGCTGGGGCCTTGTTCACAAAGACCCTGACTCACGCTTCATGCAATGGCGTTCGAGCGTCTGTCCCTTCTTGAGCAAATTCTTTTCATCCGCTGCTCGATGCTGTGGGAACTGCTCCAGCAGACATTTCTTGGCTTGTCGAAAGTACTGCATGACCGAGTGTCGAGCCAAGAGCTGTCTCTTTCGGCTCTCCTTGAACGCGAGATACATGCCAAACTTGTCCATCACAGATTCTAAGGCGAGAGGTGCCCTCTCGCGCTGCATGCACTATTGCAGGTACTCCCAAGTAACCTCTTTCTGCTCGAGGAACTTTAAAAATGAGCGCGTTGTGTTCTTACGGGCACACTTCGTGTTGGCAAGTGCTAGGTCGGTCAGACTCATCCTCGGTGGAGATGTTAAAGCTTTGATGTTGTTTGTACAATATGCGATTGAGTTACCTTTTGTCGGAGATGTCGGAGCTTGGGTGTTATTTTGAAATATGCGAGTAATTTGGTGTTTGTATAGTGATATCCATACCAGCACTGTTCTCTCCGTTCTGAGACGTCGGAGAGGTAGATGCGGGAGCTTTACTTGTCCACCTACTCTCTGATTGGTTTTAAATATTGCCTTTGTTCAATTTGACTCGCTAAAAAGGGGTTTATATTACCACGCTCACACTACTGGTCAATACATTTAACATGTTATTCAAGTGCGGTCGGAGACGTATTGTTATTTATCCATAACTTGATTTTCGCAACGCTTGCAGCGTCCGTTCCACTCCTACGTTCTGGTTTGTAAGCTTTTTGTTGACAGACATACAGTACGTAATCACAGAGAACAGCGTATTTTACTCGAACACGTTATGCGACATCGAGGCGAATGCCAGAAACCGTCGTCTGAATAGTTAAATGGCGTTTGTTGGCGTAGATTATACCGCAGCAATCACCAAGCGAGCTCGGTGGATAATGCCAATGCAGGAATACCCCATCGGGGACCATAGCTTTCTGGTGGGCATCGATTCTAAGGAAGCACTCTGCGTTTCTTAGCCCGACGTGCGACAGCGCGTGCGAAACATCGACCGAGATCGGGTCCAATCGTACGGTGATAAACGCTATTGACCCGTCTGGAACGAGCACTCGACGTGCCGATCCTGTCCAATATATATATGTTGCAATAGCTGCATGACGCTGCACTGCCCTCCAACTGGTCGTGTCAAAACGTGAGCCGCGCAGAGCCGACGGCATTCTCCCATCGGATAATGTATGTGAGAACCTCAAACATGTAGAAACGAGCGTAGGACGCGTCCTGGTTGTCCACTTTGCCCCCATATGAGACTTTGACACCGGACGCGCAATGCGACGGCTCTTGGAACGGCTCTCGAGCCTCGCTCTTTCCTCTTCTGCTTCTTCTCGATGCATCCGTTCGGACGTCGGAAAACGACGGACCTTTGCGGTCGCTGGTGGAACTCAGCAGTTCGAAATCAAAGCCCTCGCTGTCCATGCCCGAGCCAAGATGCTCGTCTCCCTCGAAGAGGATCCACTGAAACGTCTTGACGCAGGAAAACTTGGGTCGCGAGTCTTGGTCCCAGAGGAACTCATGCCCACTACAGGCCTCGGTGTGCACTTTGGCGTAGGCTGGATGGTCAACAGCCTGGTATGCTAGCACATAGCCACGAGGACAGCGTAGCCGGAACATGACCATACTGTTCCACGACACGGTTTTCAGCTGCGGGTGGTGCACGCAGCGCTGGAGCACCAGTGCATCTTCGCTGATCTTATGCAGCACCTTTAGGCCAAGCGTCGAATACTGGATCGTGCGCATGTGCTCTGCGGTGGTCAATATGGCCCACGTCTTGTTCATGAGCGCGTGGGCTGACATGCCGTTGATCCGCTTCGTCATCGAGAACTGCACCGTCGTGCCGTCGAGGAACATTTGGTCCTCCCAGCCCAGCATGTGCATGCCCGAGCTCAAGCTCTGTCCGTGAAACCGCCGGCCATAGATCTCGTCGTAGCACTTCTTGATCAGTTCCTGACACTCTTCCAACGTCAATCGCGCGCGCGGGTCTGTGGTAGAAACCGACTCTGGTAGCGACAACGGGTCGAGCGCCAGCGTTGCCGCCGGGACAGCGGGCGCCGCGTCGACGTCGGCCAAATACACTGTGAGCGACGACGCAAACCCGTCGTACTTGGCCAACTTTCGCTGCGCCGCTGCGGCCGCACGGCGCAGCGCTTTCAGCTCGTCCGTCGCTGTCGCGTATTGCTCCTTGAGCAGAGACAGCGCCCGACTGGACGGCGAAGTCGTGTCTCGGTGGGCGCCAAGCAGCACGTCGAGCGTGCGCTCGAGCTGAGCCACTTGCGTCTGCATAGCCTGCACATCGTTCTAACGCACGCAGTACGAGAGAGAGAGAGAGAGAGAGGGGACGAACGCCCATAAGTGTCGTGTGTGAGATCGATAGAGAGCCCGACAGGTGGCAACGCGTACTCTGCAGCGTTCGCGGTACAGCCGCTTGAGGTCGCGTTGTTTGCGGCGACGGTCGACGTCTCGCACGTCGTTGCGGGACATGGCGTACATTGGCGACAAGTCGATTGACCAACTGACCAACTGACGGACTAACTGACTGACTGACTGACTGACTGACGGATGGACGGAGACGAACCTCTGTCCGAGACGGACGGACGTACGTATGTGTGTGCACTATCTCCAGTTGACGTCGGGCAGCTAAATCGAAACTGACGCGTCGCGACGTGACGCACTGCACCTGCGCGCACCACAAGCGCCTGCCAAGTCGAGACAAGAGCTGATACGAATCAAATCGTCAGCAGTGGTTGACGTCGCGCCTCGTCTCTGCTCGCAACGGTCACTGCTTGGCGCACGGCGCGAGGGATTAGCAGAGCGTAAACATTGAGAGGGACGAGCGGCTGCTCGAGGAGCGCCGAGAAACAGGCGGTCGAATATTTCACAGGACCAGTAGTCGGTCGTCGGCAATAACTCCGTCTGGTGCGTCGTCTGCGCGCGAGCAAAGCAGTGGGCGTAACAAGTGCGCTCGGAAGCGCTGCCACAACACATGTGCGGTTCGAGGGACTGCACTGCTGCACATGGGGAAAAGCTAATGGACGTCCACCCTACATGCTGACTAAGCTCGTTCGAGAGATCTGCTACAGGCTCAACACTACGACAGGAAACAATCTCCACTCGTCTCTCTCTTCTTCTTCTTCTTCTTCTTCTTCTTCTTTGTGGATTTTATGCTTACACGATTTGGTAGCGACGGACATCTGCCCGCACGCGGTACCGTATCGAGCAATGGGCACAGGCGCCGGCTGAGAAAAGAGACTGCGCACGTTCCCAGTCTCTCGCAGTCGAGTGACTCATGACTGTCTATTGCACATGATACTCATGCGCTAGCGGTCTGCAATCTTCTACGCCAAGAATGCAGCGCCGGTCGCGGCGGTGGTTCATGACAGTCGAGTGTTTCTAGCAACGGTACACGCGACTGATGCTGCGCCACTGCAGCAAAGCCAGTCGATCCCGAGTGCGTACACTGAAGAGATCAGCCGCGTGCAAATAGAGACTCGAACGAGTGCTGGCGCACCCACTTAGGCTGAGGAAGTGCGTGAAAAGCCGCTCGACACGAGAGAGTACTTTTTACCCCACGACACCAGCAAATGGTGCGTGAGCACAGGCGCCCACCGGATGGACAGCGGACGGCCATTGCCTCAGCATATGGTACACAGCAGCGGGGCAGCGCATTGGGTCACGGATGCGATGATGCGATCGATCACCTGTTGCATGACAGTACGGCACCTCTTCTTTCTTCGAAGCACGACAGTCGCATTGCAATGAAGCGCAGCGACCGAGCAGTGCGTCATTTGGCTTTCGTAGAAGGGGTTTGCATGATCGGTCGAGAAGCGGTGCTGCATTAGCTCACACATTCATTGAACACTCGTTCATCGGTTGTCAGTTGTCCGTAGGGGGATCCAAAACGTGTAACAACATGGAATCTATCGTCCGAAGCAATTCTCTCTCTTTGTCCGTCTTGAGTGCTGTTTACCAGATCGCCGCCACTTGTCGTTGCTTGCTATATCGTGCGCTGCTGCATTAGCGACTTACAAGAGCGCGTTGCAAGTCGTAGTGTGTGCACGTCGGCATTCGCGTACCACGTTGACCACGGCGCGTTTTGTCGCGCTTTCCTCTATGCAAGAATAAGCACGGACTCACGTGTGATGCCAGCTCGTTGTTCCCTCTATACAGGCATAACCAACCGCTCACATTCCGACAGAGAGAAGCGCACGAACCAATAACGATGCTGGTGAGAATATGACAGTGCAGCAAAAGCCATACGTTCGTAAACTACCACTGCTCTGTTTTTTTATTTTCGCAGAATAGAAATCATTGCGGCAGCGGCGCCTCGTATGCATCAAACCAATGCTGTCAATGTCCACCCATTCAACAATATCCGACGCCCATCGAAAGACCGGACGATTGATGCTGTCAACAAGTAGAAAGACTATCGACAATTTCTAAACCTCTCGCACCTTTTCACAACTCAATTGGTGCTGTCGTCTCTGCACGTTGGACGACTGCGACGTACGTACCCCATGAGCAGCGCGTCCTCGAAGCCACGAGCGCCGGTCGTGGGACTGCACGCCGGCAGCAAGAGCGACTTTGGTGACGATCTGGACGTCGAGGAGCTCATTGAGCGCAATCGCTGCCACGAAGATTACTACAAACTGGAAGACTGCCTCGCGGAGTATGATCGTGATTGGCGCAAATGCCAAGAGCAGGTTAAGCAGCTTAAGCTGTGCAACGACCGCATCACTCAGCTGCGTACTACCGCACACGAAGCTGCTGCGAAAAGGAGCAGTCGTCCGTAAACAAACACTTAACGCGTCTCTACGCTTCGACTGCTAATGGCAAATGGCGAGGCCCCTCTTCTCCCGGGATTGACAAGTGCTTGTACTACATTCACGCAAACTACTGACTGCTCTACTACTGCTTCCCTCGACCCGTCTGCGTCCAGCTGTCCTTCTTCTGCCAGCAACACGGCCGACCCCCTCGTCGTCCGTCGTCGATGCAGACTCGTGGAAGACGTCGTCTACCTCGTTTTCTCGCGCACCAGCAAGTCCGAAACCGGTTAGAAAGGAGCTTCAACCGTTCGGCCGTCGCTGCTGCCCGTAGCGCCGTCCGCGCTCGCATTGCGGCCCTCTTCGTCCTCCTGGTCGTCCGACACGTACCAGCCGTCCATAGTGTCAATGTCCATCGCAGTGTCTTCGTCGCGACTCTCTTCTTCCATCGCCAGTCGGGCGTACTCGGCGCGAGCATAGCGGTCCCAGTCCCTATGTGCAGCAACAAAGTGAGCACAAGTATTCCATTCGTTCTTTGCAGTGCCAATGCCAATCACCACGTACGTGAGCTCTGGTTCGGCAATCTGCTGACGAAGGAGAAACGGGTCTCGCTGCTCGAACTCGATGAACTTGCTGAGGTTGAACAGCACGTTGAAAAACACACCCGAGACGCGGATCTTGTCTGGACGGACAAAGTCCGCGTGGTAGAACTCGCCCTCTTTCCTCGGATGCAACAAGTCCGACATTTGACAGAGGATGTCCTCGAACGGCACCACTTCATGGCCGAGGCACTCCATGCGGTGGATCTGGTGGCGGTAGAACACGCGCATCTCGTCGGCACGCAACACGCCGTCCTCGTTCGTGTCGATGAGCTCAAACCAATACCTAATGCTGACAGGATTCGACTTGTCTTCCTCCGACAGCATAAAGTCTACGGTCATCACAAACGATCAGTTAGCCGCCCGACTGATCAGAGGTGGTCACGGCCACTGTCACTCACAAATAAAGTCCTCGTAGCTCATCTTCTTCTTCTCTTCCGCAGTCAGCGTCTGGACACGAGCAAATGGACGCCGTCCGCGTTCGAAGATGCGGTCCACAATGATACGTGTAAGGGCGTGGCCGCCATACCGTACGAGGTCGTCGAGGTTGAGGAGGAAGTCGTGGTCCGTGTCCAGTTCCCAGAATTTGCAATACAGCACGTAGAAGTGCTCGTACGAGAAATACGAATTCACCTGCACTCAACAATGGTTAGCATCGAGCGCGGCGCCGCTTGTACTGCACATTGCACGCACCTTATTGATGTCTTCTTCCTCATCCACAGTGTTGAACGCACTGATGAGGTTGCTACGCCGCAGTTTTCGCATCGTGATTCGGCCGCTACTGTCTCTATCAACTGAGTAATATATCCGCACGACGACGGTCAAGGCTGCACACAAGGCACGCAAGCACGTCGTTAACTCTGCCAAGGCCTTGCATCGTGATCGTATCAAGCACATGGAGCATCTCGCTTACCGTATTTCTCCTGAAATTCGGGAGTGCTCCCAAGAAACTCTAAGCCAGGATGGTACTTCAGCAATTCTGTCGACAAAAAAACAATCAGCAAGAAGCAGATAGCGCAACAACCCATCGAGCGCACCACCGCACCATGCAAGAAAGGCGCGAAGTCGTCTCTCTCTATGAAGTCGTTCTTCGGTTGCTTTACCTGTCAGCATACAGCGGCAACCGTGAGTTTGCAGTCACGTTCTGTTCTCCATACTGCACATCGCTCGTGACCACGTACTACTCTAAAAAAGCGCTCCACGCTATCACATGGAGCCATCTCGCGCATCCAGTAATTTAAAAACACAGTCTTTGTAATACGCTGAAGTGCTGCACCGCTATCAGCGCTCGTGGGGCTAGACGCATCCTCTGCTGCAGCTGGACTCGAGGGAGGCTTCAGCATTGTCTCTCCTGCATCGTCGCTAGTTGCTAGAATACGTCGAAAAAACGGCGCATTGAAAAACGAAGGAAAGCCGCAGAGGTCCTTGGTAATGGCCACAAAATCCTCGACTTTCATGCCTTCTGGGAACTCACGAAACCGCGCTTCAATGTCCGAGACTTTGCGCGCCATGGCGTCCGTAGACAGACCGCGCAGTCGACCGCGTCGACCTTCGCCTGGCACATAGAACCTGGGAATCTGAACCTGCTTGGCTGGCTCTTCACACATGGGATAATCTGGGTCACTCACTGCAAGTTCTTCGTCCTCCGTCCCTGTATCCACGTCCTGCGACTCCTGTTCGTCCTCCATTTTCTCGTCTGCATCCACCGGTAGCGCCAGCCCCGTCGCTTCCTCAGCGTCTCCCTCGTTCAACACCAGTGTCTCCCCAATAGATTCGCCACCACACTCTCCACCACCCGACGCTTCGCTGTCGTCGCCAGTCATGTCCACATCCTCCGACACCAGCAACGGCACCCCCACAGCTACTCCCGTGTTGTCCTCCTCCGTCGTAGCTGCATCTGTCTCTGCTACTGCCGCTGCCATCACGGCCGCAACGTTGTGCAGCTCGTCGCCAAAGAGGCTGACGAGGTGCTGGTGGCGTCTCCGAGCACTGGGACTGCCGCCTGCACTGGCGCTCAGCAGGCCGAGCTGCTGGTAATTCGGTGGCCGCTTGGGGCTGCACGCGGCCGCGTCCAGTCCGCTGCTGCCCGTGGCCGTCACGGTCGCCAGCAGCGTCTCGAGGTTCAGCTCTTTGCCCTGTCGCAGGTCCGCCACCATCTTCTGGATCAGCTCTTTCGTGCCGTCGACGTTGAGCCACTGGCGGAAGAGCTCTTCCATCTTCATGCGCCCTGCAGGGCACAAATGCGCGCTCTCGATCTCCGACAGCCGCAGCGACTCGACGCCCGTACTGCCGGAGCTCGTGGGCGACGCCATGGCCGCGTCCGACGCGTCGACTTCGGCCGTCATCGCGTCGGGGGGTGGGGGCGTACGTGTGTCTTCTCGACGGCTCGCAGGCGCACTCGCTCGTTGCTTACTGTTTGGTGACAGTGGCAGAAGTCCGACGTCTCGACTGCTTTTTTCGTGCGAACGTGTGCGGGGGGGGGGGGCGCGTGTGGGTGGGGTGTGTGTGTGTGTGGACGTGTGTGTGGACCACGTGAAAGAAGGCGAGAAGTAACATGTTTTCAAAAGTAACAGCTGGGACGGGAGGCAGCGACTCGTTGTCGTGACGTCGTCGTGGACGGACAGGCGTAGCAGACCAGTGCTTTGTTGCTTGTCGTCAAGTTGTCTGTCACAGGAAGTCGAGTGCACGCATGGCCACGAGCACGTGGAAAAGGAGGTATGGGCGGTAGTAGTTGGTGACCAGCAGACGCACCGACAGGGTCTGGCAACGTCCACTATAGCAGTAGTACTGCTGCACGTGCGTCTTCGTCTCGAGGTACTCGCCCGCCCACCCACTTGACTTGTATTGACGAAAGCTCGTTGACGCACGTTCCGTTCAGTCGGTCAGTGTCAGCAGCTCGCAACGTCATGCAGGAGGAAAACCATAGCGACACCCACTCTCGATGTCGCGACGCTGACCGACAATGGCGTGCAGTGTCGGCTGTCATCTTGCGACACCTGTTCGCACGTGAGTCGGCAGCTCCGTCCACGACAACCGCACATGGATTGGTGTTCCAGATGCAGCATATGGATATGTGTTTCCGATCGATCGATGAAGCAGACGGCAACGACCGCGAACTCGTCCGACAATGATGCAGCCTGTTCGCACACGAAACGTGCAGCTGCTTCACGTAGGCTCTATGTATGTAATACCGAGCGCAAGACGAAGAGCGCGTTTGCTTTGCAAAGGAAGAGATCCACTGTGGTCATCAGAGCTCCTGTTGTTGCAAAGACGAGAGCAGCCGTCGTCTCTCTCTTCGCTCATCTTTTGCTCCACACAGCAGCGACACCAACGAGCTGTTTCATCGTCACAGCGACCACTGCAACACTGCGATCAGGACGTCACGAAATGCACAGCTTATCCGCAGTGCATCGTCGTCACTCAGCCGCACATCAAAAGACGAGCTGCAGAGTTGCAACTCAATTTCACGTCTGACACTGGAATAGGAGGAGAAAAAGGGCGACCTCCGACCACTATCCGTCTTGCGAAAGCGCCAGTTCTAGTGCCACTTCAGAAGGATCGATAGCGCACGGCGTCAGTGCGGACAAAAATAGCGGAATAGATTGAGAGCACGGTGATGAGTCGCGGTAACGCCGTGCTATTTCTGCTCTCGTGAATTAACAGACGCTTGCCGGAAATGTATACTTACAAGAGACCACAAACACCTGATTACAGCTCGGTACAATCTGCACGAGCAATCATAGCGAAAGCCCTATTATGTATTACACAGCATTGTCTGCCCACGACCAAGCGTATCGTGCTTTGTGCGTCCATACTCGCACATGTTGTTTTCGACTCTTCGATTTCTGCATCCATTCGTTTCTAAAAAGTAGGCTGCCCCTCTCAACCAAACAAATAGACCACCTTTCGCAGGTTTCTATTCGTCCGATTGGAGCGCACGCCATTTGTCACGAATGGCAATGTGGAAGCCCGGCAGCGACCGGCCAAAGAAGGACGAGCCACACAGAGCCAGCAGCGACAAGGACCATGCGGCGTCAGCTCCGAGCGACGGTATGCCAGTGCGTCCAGCCAAAGAGACGCCGGCCAAGTTCGTGCTGTCGCAGAAGACACTGGCCATGAAGGTACACAGTCGTTTCTAAGGGCCTGGCACCTCGCGCTGCTGCTTACAGTGACGCTTTGTATTGTTTCTATACAGTTTATGCAGCGCAAGAAGAAGACGGAAGCGCACCGTATTGCAGCCGTACAGGAACAGCATAAACAGAATACGTGGGAAGCCGCGACCATCGACGACGGACAGAGTCCTGACGACGGCTCGAGGATCGTCTGCACGCGCGACGTGCCCGACCCGTCGTTGCCGCTGCTGTTCGGCCGTCGCTCCTTTGGCGCCTTCAACAAGAACGTCGAGGACGAGCTGAAGGAAGCGTCGAGAGCGCTGCGCTTCAAGGCGTCCGAGGAGAAGGAGCTTCGGGAAGAGATCTCGGCCGAGGAGATGACGGCGCGCATGCTCAAGTACACGGGACTGGGTCGTCGCTGCGGGAAAGACAGCAGCGGCGGACGACGTCCGAACAGCGGTGGGCGACGTCCACACAGCAACAAGCGGCAGCGGAAATAACAGCACTGCAGCATCGATCGGGTGGGCGGCCACTGCAAAGTTGATCCCATACTGTCCGCCGCAGCTGTGCGAGTCGTGGCTGCCATCCGATCACTCGGTGCCGCTCGCGTCTTCGTCACTGAAGTAACTATCAGGTTTTCGCTGCGGCCGCCGTCGTGCACCCATAGCTACAGCAGCAGCTGCAGCAGGCGCCGTCTTGTATGACGACGCCGATGAAGATAGAGGAGCTGCAGGTGGGTACGCGAGCAGCGAGATGGACAGATCTGCCTCGTCCGAGTCTGTAGATGGCGCCCTACAAGCAAACAAACAAACAAGCAAGCAACAAACCGACACACAACCACATCATCAGCACCTCCTCTTGTCCTTCTTCTGCCGCACAGAGACACGCGCATCTCCCCACGCGTGACAAGCACAGACCACGTCGAAACGTACAGCATGTTCGTGACCTCTCGGGCGTTCACCCAGTGCTCGAGCCCGCGTCGGCCGAGCGTCCCACTCTCCCTCTTCCTCTCCAGACGCGTCCGACTGCGCTTGTGTCCAGTGCTCTTGGCCACTGGCCGCTCCCGCGCGCCCAATACATTGCGTGGACACTCGTACGACACGTGCCCCGCGTCGCCGCACTCGAAACAGCGCGCGGCCGTCGCGTACGTGCGCTTCGTCTTGAACTCGTCCGCGCGGCCGTTGTCGCGGCTGAGCGACACGGACAGCGCCAACCCGCCCACCCGCTGCTTGTCCATCGCAGCCACAGCTCTCCGGCAGTCGCGCGCGCGCGCAAACTGCACGAACGCGACGCCGCGACTGCGCTGCGTGTGCTGATCCCGCAGCACCAGCACGCGCGCCAGCGTCCCGAACGGCACAAACAGCTGCGCCACGTCGTTCGTCGTGTAGGCGTACGGCAGCATCGCCACGTACGCGGTGCACCGCGCGGCCGGCGTCGCCTGTGGCGCGCACATGGCGTCGTCGGGGAGGTGCGCGTCCGTGGGCGTGTGTACCGACAACGCGGTACAGTCGCACGGTAACCCTACCGACGACGTACCGGTAGTGGACCGAGCGACACTCGGGTCGCCACTGCCCCGTCGCTCGTCCCGATCTCGTTATGGCTTCAGCTTTGCCAGCAGTAAGTACGGACTGCTCCGAGTCGAGTCACTTTCCGTCCATCAACGCGCTGGCGGTCCGATACGACGTCGCGGATCGAACGATGGCGGCTCAGCATCGGCGCCGCCTCTGGCAGTCAGTCACTTGTTGTCTCGCGCCCGGCGCCCCACACCCACACCCACACACACACCGCAGGGGATGACGCTTCCGAACCGCAGCGGGTACGTCCCGGGCCCGCGCCGACAGCCACGAGCAGAGACGACAGCAGCGCTGCCGCGTCGAGTTCGAGGAGACCCACCGTTGAGAGCAGCGCCCGAGACGATGCAGCGGGAGCTGCGGCTGATGCTGCGGTCGCTGTCGCCTGCTGCTGGCGGAGCGGCTCTGCCGTCGGTGGGTCCGACCTCTGCAGCGAGTGCGGCGTTGGTGGGGCAGTGCCGCAATCAGTTGCTCGAGGACGAGTCGTTCCAAGCGAACGAGCGTTTCCAGGGACTGCTGCTGTTGGCCAATCACTCGGCGGTCGACGCCGCACCCGGTGCGGTCGATCCCTTTGCTGCAGCGATGGCGCAGATGCCAACGAGTCCACAGTCCCCTCCTTTAGCGTTCAGCGCGTCCAGCGACGGCGAAGAAGAGGCGGGCGAGACGAGCCGATCGCCGCCGTACGTGGAAGCCGAGTCGTTGCAGACTATGGCCCATGCGGCGCGCACAGTGGTGCAAGACCCAACAGTCTGTGCGCGCTACGAGCAGGCAGCTCACCAACTGCACGAGTGGGGGGAACGACGCCTGGTGCAGCAGCAGAACAGCAGCAGCAGTACTCTTCACCGAGTCCTGCCAGTGCGGAGAAAGGCGGCAGCTCGGCACCTCAGCTGCCAATGTCTCTGGCGGGAATCTCGCCCTACGCCATGGAGCTCGCGGCTCGCAACAGTTTGCCCAAGAAACGCTCGAGTCTTTCCAAGGTGTCCAAGAAGCTGATGCACGACTGGTTTGAGCACAATTTGCACCATCCGTATCCGACAGAAGAGGAGAAGGACTGGCTGGCTCAACGAGGCGGCATTACACTAGAACAGGTCAACAACTGGTTCATCAACACGCGCGGTCGAAAGTGGAAGCCCATGCTCAATCGACTCATGGCGGAGAAACAAGCGGGAGACTGCAAGTTGTACGACCAAATGGTGGAGAAGATTGAGGAGCCTTACCACAAGTTCTAGTGCGGCAGGGCAGCAAGATAGAAGTGTGTGCGATAGGCGTGATAGGCTTATCGTACACACAGGATAGCCGTCGTCGGCATTTTCCAGTTGCGGCGCGGGTGTTGTAGCTGCCCATCAGTGCACAAACATGTCGGAATTGGTCCATGACAAGCGAGTGGACACGAACAGCTAGTCGCTTGGCGAACGAAAAGCTGCAACAAAGTAACACTCAATTGTAGCAGAACCGTTTTGAGTATCATAGACGTCCCACTTTGGTGAGCAATTGCAGTATGTATGGATGAGAGACATGCACACTCCTTCCGTCTTCACCCGCGTATAGACCGACGAGTCTGATCGAGTCTAGCATCGACTCTTCTACGACGACTTCTCACATCACCGCAGTCCAAAGCCTTCGGCCTGACTGATCGCTAGCAACAGACGCTCTTTGAGTTTCTCGCGACTGCTGTACTCTGGCAGCAGGAGGTGGTTGTAGCTAGTTCATTACACATAGTGCACGTTAGCGATTGCATTGCAAACACCACAAGCAACTTCAGCAGCATATCCTCTCACCACGTGTGTGCTGTAGGAAGACGATCCGAGTCCGGCCCGTTGCGGGAAATTACAAACACAAGACTCGAGAGACCCCGGATGGGAACGCGGTCGCTGCCTGTTGCAAACCGCAACAGCTTCTTCTTATCCTCCAGGGGCAGTGCGTGCACGATGACCCAGAAATCCCTTGCATGGCCAAGATTGCAACGTCAAAAACACGCAAGAAAGCTGCACCACCATAGCGACGTACCGAATGAGCTCGCTGTCTGCAGCAAAGCCGTCCTCGTAATGAGTAGCTTCCTCGAGTGCTTCGAAGTCAAGATCGCTGTTGCCACAAATGAGAAGCTGCAACTCCTCCCACCGGAACATGCTCAGAACCTCATGGTTGCAAACCTGGTGAAAGCCGTGGTGGAAGGCAGCGTACTGACGCGAAACAGACTTGTTCAGCACATAGTCCACGTACAGCGCAACGTATTCGTCGCGATTGTCGCTAGTCACTGGAATCAAACTGCCTCCTGGCTTCAGCTCCACTGTCTTGACCTCGCCAAACACTTCGTGCGAGTACTCAAAATTACGCTGGTATACTCCCTCCACGTCGCCCTGGAAGTTCAATAGTTGCCGCAGACCACGACCGAGATCCGGCATTGCTAGTTCCAGATCCTCCAGTCCAACGGTGCAGCCCATTACTTTCTTGTACACGATGTGGGGAAAGCTAACATCCAGAATGACGGCATTGTAGATGGCAAGACCCAGCAATGTGCCGATAAGCTCAAACTCCATAGTGGCTTCCAGTGAATCGCTGTTGAACCATAACATACGTGTTTCCTCGTCATACGTGAACATGCCATAGGCCGGATCCAGGAGCTGTCGAATCAGTATCTGAAAAAACTCTTTTCGCACACCGCCCTCGTCGATGCCTTCTTCATCGACAAACTTGACCTTGAGCGACTTTTTCAGCGTCTCTGCTGACAACGACAAATGCACTAGCTGCCGCATGGCATCCTCGACGATGTTCTCACGTCGCACCCTCAGCACCAAGTAAGGTGATAACGCACTTTCGGTCAACAAGGACGAGCGAGCGTACACTGTATCCTGAGCACGGGCGCGCTGCTCAAGGTCCGAGTCGATTTGCAGCACTTTGCTTTTCGAAGCTGCGTCCAACACGAAGGGAAAATCACAAAACGACATTTCCGAAAGCATGCGCTCTGGCATCGGTTCGGCATCTTCCCTTTCCTCTCCTTCTTCTCCTTCTCCATCTTCTCGCTCTTGCTCTTGCTCTTCGTGCTCACGATCAGTCTCGCTGTCTTCTCCAGTCTGCCGTCCACGACGTCGCAGCTCTCCCCGCTCCGAACGACGAGCGGCACGCGCGGCACTATGGCGCTTCTTCCAAAAGATTATAGAGCGCGAGTAATCTTGCACAATGTCTACCTCCGAATTCACAGCTTCATTATAAAACTCATCGTACGTAGCAAACGGCCCGTGACCATTCACCCGCTCACGATTTACAATCTGGAGCTGTGCAAGCACGCCACATGCCGCATATACGAGGTCCATTTTCCGCAAGCCATACAGACACACTGTGATTGCCTGTTGCAAAATGTCCAACAGTCGATGCAATTGATCCGCCGAGAAGAACATCGTCCACTGCACACGCATAAGGGCCTTGGCATCTTCAGGCAAGTAGAACAGCAGTCGACACAACCCGCCCACGACGTTCAAGTAGCTCGGATCAAACATCGACGGATGCTCGAACAACACGAGAAAAAAGCGCAGTGCGCGCGGTGTGTGCCACGTCGAGCACACGTTCCACGGCTGCGTGACCAGCGTCTCCAGTGCGTTTCGAAACGTGTTTTGCACCGCTTCCTGGTCGCTGCTTGTCATTGCAGCATTCAGCAGCGCAAACACCCGCGTCATCTGGTGGCAATCAACGTGCCACCACTGTGCCCGCATATCATCGTCTTCTTCTGATCCGTCTTCTACTTCTCCTTTCTCGACAAAAGCAGCGCCCAGAGCATCCGGATCGGAGAACATCTGGTACACAAGAGTCTTCACGACACGGTAGTCGTCCGTCTCACGCGCGAGCATCAGCGCCTTTTCCAGCTGAGTCCCCGCGCTCTCCGTCGCGCACTTTGCAGTCAATCGCCCGCCGTCTTCGTGCTTCGACGCGGACGTATGACATGCCGAGCGAGACAACGAGCGCGTCGTCGGCTCGAGTGCCGCTTCCGTACTTAGTAAGGCTTCTCCCACGTTCGTGGCAGCTGCAGCAGACGAGTCAGCCGACGGCGCCTCGTCCTCGAGCGTCTCCATGGCCACGTCCTGTCCGTGCAGTCTATCCGACGCGTCCTCCATATCGACGTCGTCGCCTGATACTACAGGAACCTCAGCAACCGCACCAGTCACACCAGCGCCGCCTGCCGTCTTCTCGGTCGCCACCTGCTGCACCTCCGCCAGCGCGCGCGCAACGGCGTCGTTCGGCGCGAGGCCCTGCGCCAGCAAACGCGCGTACGTCGCGTGGAAGAGCTCCCGGAGCTGCTCGTTCCCGTGTGCGCTCTGCTGCGTCTCCATCGCCGCCGCTGCGCGCACACACACAGAGAGAGAGAGTCCTACCGGCGACGACGACGTCGGGATCGCTTGCGGCTTGCGAATAACACGAGAGGTCAATTCGCTTTGAGAGGGTTTGCTTTTTGTACAAACGAGAAAAAAAAGCAAGCGAACACCGACCAACATACGGTCGAGAGGGGGTGGTAATCAATCGGTCACGCGGGGCGCGCGTGTCTCTATTTGTCCATAGCGTGCGCTATGGTGCGTAAAATACGTCCGACCCTACTGATGCGCAAACCCACCACCGCAAGTGGGCTTTTCGACCAATCAGCGCCCGCGTCCGCCACCCCGCTCGCTCTATCTGCACGCGAGCAGCGCCGGGGCGATCGAGCGCGGCACTTTGCGTCCGCTGTCGAGAGCATGGACGCGACCGTGCAGTCGTGGCGCAAGAAGATGCCGAGCAAGCGGCAGCTCACGTCCACGATCCATCAGCTCGTGCAGCAAAAGGCCGTCGCCGTGCTGTACACGCCCACGGAGGTGGAGCGCATCCAGGCGATGACGGACATGATGGCGCAGGCCACGAGCGAGTTCGAGGCCGACGAGGACTGGGATCGGATTCTACGGGTCGTCGATGCGCTGAGTAACATTCGCAATCGCGCCGTGTACGCACTTGCAGCGCGTGGTCGGTGGGCTATCAGATGTTGGAGGGTATTCGTTGACGAACGTCTGTGCGTATCAGATTAAAAGAGTCGATCCGGTACCTGAAGCTGAGGCTCGGTGACCCATCGTCCCGGGTGGTGGTACTGGCCCTGACGTTGACAGAGTCAATTGTCAAGAACTGCGGGGATTTGGTGCACCAGGAGATCGCGTCGGAGCCGTTTATGACGGAGATGGAGGCGCTCTATCGAGTGAGACGCGCGCGCGCTTTTGTATCGACGGAATGCTCACTCGAGCACGTGAAGACGGCGGCTGATCGACTGATTCTGTCGTGGCTGCCATCGATCGTTGCTGTCGCAGGTGCATGCGAATCGACGTGGACGGGCTAGTATGGAGATTGCCAGCCGCGTACTGGACATGATCCAGGCTTGGGGCGAAGCTTTCTTGCCATTCCGAGTGAGTAGTGCCTGTACGTTTTCGAGAAGTGGTGTCTGAGCGTGCAATACTGACTCTGGAAGCGATGCTAGCACGAGTTCCCTCTGTTTGTCGACACGTACCACAACATGCGGAAGAAAGGCGTCAAGTTCCCGGACCAGTACGACGAGTCCAAGGTGCCGGTACTGACGCCGTCGTCTTCAGACGTGCTGGGTGGCAGTCAAAGTGGCGCTGCGAACGCAACGTCGGTCTCATCGATCCAAGCACGCAAATCCAGATCGATCGACACGTCGTCGTATTCCAACAGTAGCAGTAGACTGGGCGGCTTGTCGACGCCGGAGCTGTACCGCGTCGCTACGAACGTGGCCGAGATGTTTGAAGATATGCTGTACGAAGCGCAAAAGCAAACGTCTGGTATCGGCAACCACGGCGTTATGGAAGAATTGGCGGTGGAAGTGAGAGAGATCTTGCACAGGATGGAAGGTGCTATCCCGGTTGCTCTCTCGGAAGAGGATGCGGTGAGTCTTTTGCTCCTACTGCTGGCGGTCGCGCGTAGAACGAGACTACTGACGTTACTGTCTGCGTTCCCTACACTAGAACATTGAGAAGTACTTGTCCATCAACGACGATCTACATGCCGCACTGAAAAAGTACGATATGCTGCTTGCACGAAATGTGAAGGCAGAAGCAAAGACTGCTGCAAAGTCCGGAAAAGATATACTGAACGACATCGATCTCGTCGATCCGTTTGGACTCGAGGCGGATCCGTTGCCGTCAAAAAATACGACCACGCGGGATGTGATCGATGGCGACGATTCGTTCGCAGACTTTGTGCACGCACGCGCGGGATCCAAGGCAAAGCGTGATGGCCAAAGTACGATATATAGCAGCAAGAGCTCGGTATCTGAAGTCGAGTCCAAGCGTGCTGTTCCGATGTCACAGCAAGAACAGGAAGACGACCCATTTGTAAGTTTCGTGCAGCAGCGGGCCACGAAAATCCTCAGTAGCAACGACCAGAATTGCAAAAGCGAGACAAAGCCGGCAGCACCGCAACTTGCGGACCCTGGGAAGGACTTGATCGATCTCTGGGATGGTAAGACAAGATGTGAGGCACATGCAGCGAGGTGTAAGAACTGACTCGTAGCCTCGTGACTAGATACAGCTCCTTCCGCGCCTGTTGTTGTCCAACCGTCAGCAAAACCTGGACTATGGCTGGAAGATGACCTCACGGCCATTTCGAGCCAGCCAACTAGTGTCTCACACACAGGGCTGGCGAAGACGCCGGCTTATGATCCGTGGAGTGGTAACGTTTTGTGGGATACGGGTCATGGGTGACAGCAGAAGTTCTGACAGCGTGATTGCTCCACAGCCGACACGTTGTACGAGCCCGGTACGTCTACAACAGCACAGTTGGATCCTTGCAGCACAACCAGCAGCACCATCGACACAAGCTCCAGCGGCCGCTCCTCCACAAAGGTGAGTTACCTGATTGCACTTTGAACCTTCGGTCGCTAACGCAGTGTCGTTTGTGTCAATCCTAGGCGGCCGCTCCGACGCCCACCCCATCGAATCCGTTCGACGCGATTGAGTTCGCTGCTCCGGCATTGTCGCAGCAACCGTCACAGCCGGCGGCCAGCAGTTCATTTAACCCTTTTGACATCTAAGTCTGTATGCCTGTCATCGTCATGGGGAAAAGCTGCCGACGTTTTTGTGAAGAGCTTTGCGCTCCGTTGCACATTCACGACTTGTCCGGTGACACGTGCGGAGTGTACCCATTTACCCGGTGCATACACGTTACTTTGCCGCCGTGTGAAGACAACGAACTACAGACTTCGATACTTCTGATTCGCGAGAGAGGTACATCACAAAACGTTTCCCTTGTAAACGCTTCTTCGGTTGTAGCGCTGTCGTACAGAAACAGGTGCTCCATCCTGCACCGCTCTTCTGCGAGCCCCAACACGTCCATAAAGTCAATCACATGCAGTCTTCGATAGCACGTTGCGCAGTTTCCTGCAGCACTACCAGCGTCACATCAATGAGCAAAGTACGAGTACTTCATCGAGAAACATATCGTAAAGCAAAGTAACGGCCACAAAGCTGTGTGAATCCAGCACCTCGTCAGCACACAAAGCTGAGACTTCGGGAGTAGCGTTTGCTTGTAGGCAGCGAATTGCTAAAGGCCAGTCTTGCGATATGGTAAATGTTCAATCCATCGTATTGCAGGTGAATAGCTACCGAAGATGCACAAGCGCAACCAATTACTCGCTCCTAGTCACCAACTCGCTGCAGGCGATACGCGGGGAACGACAGATACCCATCTTAGACGCCTACGATCGTCACCTTTGGCCAATCCTCTTCACTTGTTGTTCACTGGCGAGTTCTGCTTGCCTTCGGTCTCCTTGCGCGCCGTGCCAGCTGAAGTCTGCGCAGCCTCCGACTTCTTAGCACGCGTTTGCTTGGCAGCTTCAAGCGTCTTCTCTGTGTTGGTCTCCTTTTGCGTCGTTGTTGGCTCCTTCGGTTTCGTCGCCATCGCCTCTGCTCTGGTTCCCATTCCTTTGACAGTATCAACTGCCGCTCCAACCTGCTCTTTGACCTTTTCGGTCATATTCTTAGCCATGTCTGCGGTTTTAGCAGCAATGCCCTCCGATTGCTCCTTCGCCTCGCCGCTCTTCTCCTTAGTCATCTCCTTTGCCTCGCCAGCCTTGTCCTTTGCTGTCTCCTTAGCTTGCCCAGCCGTCTCCTTCGCCCGACTGGCCTTTTCTTTCGCCGTGACTTTCGCCTCGCCAGCCTTGTCCTTTGTTGTCTCCTTCGCTTGGTCAGCCTTTCCCTTTGCTGTCTCCTTCGCTTGGCCAGCCTTATCCTTTGCCTCACCAGCCTTGTCTTTCGCCGTCTCCTTCATCTCACCGGCCTTTTCCTTAGCCGATCTAGTCTTGTCCTGAGCTATGTCTTTTGCTTGACCAGCCTTCTCTGCACTCGTGCTCTTCATTGCACTGGTCGTATTCTTCGTCTCGTCACTCGTGTGTCTTGCTGTGTGAATGAGCGATAAAACTGTTGTGAGCGACAAAGCTGTCGGCGCGAGTGGTCCTGTTCTTGCGTGGTGAGAGATGGGCAGTTGATGCGATTGTTCTCGACATGTCAACTTGCATCACTCACCTCCGTCTACTTCCATCACTCGTGTCGGTGCCACGCGCCCGAACCACATTGTCTTCTAGTAACAAGAACTGCAGTGACCTAATGCATCAAGAGGTCTGCATTGGAGCTGTTTCTCGAATGAGGTGGAGGTATTCGACAGCATGAGACGAACATTTGATGGGATGTGGGATGGTCATACATGCAGCTGAAGTGACGGCTGACTAACTATCGACTATTGGTACTCACGGTGGAAGAACAAAGTTGGCGAGAGAAGTTCGATAGACAACTTGCACGATATTGACGATGCTATCGTCATTGCACCACCAAAGAAGGCCGCGATCAGTTTACTCACTGCTCGAACTGATGGCTGCACATCGACAACGATTCTACTGACGTTTATACGTCTCATTTCGCTTTACTCGACTCGTGTTGCTTTTAGCGCTGTAGTTTACACGTCGGTTACACCGTCTGCTGATTATGATGTCACGCGATACTCGAAAAGAGGAATAATTATGTTCTGAAGGCATACATGGTACGCGCTGAGAGGATCCAATCAGTAGATGGCAACACAGTCGCGGATATAACATATGCTCACGTTATAGCTGGCATCAGTTGTAGATGCTTTCACCTGATGACTTCACACTGACTTGGTCCGAATCGACAACATGAAAAACAAAGACGAACGCATCAGCTTTGTCGCAAACACAACTTAGTTGGCGTATCGGAACAGGATAAGACAAGCTTTTACAAGGCATTCGGCGCTTACTCTTAACGCTCGCTCTTAGTATCATTTAAAATATATCAGTAATACATTATATGAGCGAGGATAGTCGCTTCGTTCTTCAAAATATACAGCAGATTGCATTCAACACGACACCTCTACTAGTTAGCTGTATCAGATACACACCTCACGACACGCTCTACGGCGCGACCTCTTATTCGTTATTTCTCAACCCCTCGCCTAGCTAGCGGCGGCTACCACACTGTCATGCATTGCAGCAAGCATTCTTGTCGCTTGCATTTTCGAACTCAGAGATAAAAAGTATCCTTTAGCTATCATAGCTTAGTCACTCTCGTCGACATTTCTAGCTATAAGATGTCGACTAACCAAACCACATGGCCGAAGACGACGACGATGTTGAGATGACACCATCCTACATCTCAACTCTAGAGCAGATTGTCGCGCTAAGGTTTAAGACGTGAAAAAATATACGGTTGTCCGTCGATGGAAGGAGCGCAACACGTACGAGCGTCGACTGCATGAGCGATGTGCATCTACATGGGAGCAATACGACAGCATCGTCGTTAGTGTAGGTTTATTATTGAGGGTGAGGTACATTGGTATACTTCTGTAAATATTTAATGGCCGAGATCGGTACGTGTGTCGTGAGTGTATACGGACCAGCTGACGCTTCTCTTTGCGATATCCTCTCTGCCTATGTCTTGCACAAGGAAAGGGCAAATATAACGGATGAAGGCGTGCTCGGCGACATCCATCGCAGTAGTGCCACACTTCAGAAAGACCACCTTCCGTACCTGAAACTCTGCCTGAGACCCAGCCTAGCACAAACAGACAGAAAGGCGAACTTGTAGCTCGAGTGTGGAGCTACTTCACGCATTTTAATGAGATCTTTGGCCAACACGGCGTACGTTACGTGCTTGACAGTCGTCAAAACTTACGCAGCAAGATGAAGCACGCGCAAGGTACCGCACCAGCTTTTGGCCGCCAGTCATGCGCTTGAGATGTTGAAGAACAAGATAACTAGATCAGGTTAAGATAATTGCATTGCGCGCAAATAGATGAGACCGCACCATTAATGGACGTCCTACAGAGCGCTCGAGAGAAAACCCACTACTTTTTGCTGCTGAACTTCAGCATTCTTTCAGTAATATCCACGTTCGTTTCTCCAGATAATTATGAGCGAAAGCAAGAGATCAGTGAGTGAGAAGGTGATGTATATTTAAATACGCGAACGACCAGATATATCCTGTCACCCGGCAACAAGGTTACTGTGGCAACCGCTAATTTATATACTAGGGTAGCATCAGATCGCGGAAAGCAGTGCGCCTGCGCGCATTCTCCTGTCTCGCGATGATCAGATTCCTCGGTGTCTGTACGGGGCCATGTATGACGTATTGGTCGGCCCGAGAGGTCTCCAACCAATGATTGACATCAGAATCAAGGAAGCCCGCAACCTCCCGGACCAGACTTGTGTTCGAAGTAGCGTGCGCCTGAACCGAAACTCCTGAGTCCATAGCGATATTCGCCAGTCGATCCGCCATGTTGTTGTACGTACGATATTGATGTCTCCAGCTGTAGACATTGATATCGTTGGCGATGGCGCTTGCTTAGGTGAAGAACCGCACCAAGTGCAGCTTGCGTGGAGGGTGCCGTGTTCGGAGTTGCGAAAGCACAAGCGCACTGTCCCCAATGACATGCAGGGGTGAATATTCGTTTGTCTGTGCTTGCCGAAGACCGTGGATAAGCCCCCAGAATTTAGCGACATTGTTAGTGGTATCGACAGAGCCTTAGGACACGCTCGATACCCACAAAACGCGTGCAGTGTGCGTCGGAACGTGGAGTCGGACAATAATAGCTCCAGCTCCGCCCGGACATGGATTTCCACGGGATCCTCCATCGAAAAAAGGAGGTGTAGCACCCTGGGCACCGTTTGATAGGCCGTACTTGCAACGAAGGAGGGTCGTCGTAGCAGATGAGGGTATCAGACGATGCCGACCTTACCTGTGTAAGCAGGTGCCCATCCTCACCCAATTGGACTGGTAGGTTGATCCTCGCAATCTTCGAACTGACCGGCGAAAGATAGTCGTGGCACTTGCTGTGTGCACCTCCTGTGATAAAGACGGGTCTTCCATGCGGCGGAGGCGCTCGACCCAGATGGCATGAAGTGTAGTCGAGACGACGAAACGCTACAGCTCTCTAGCTGACGGTAAGACAGCAGTATGAGCTTCCAAGAAGTCTACAAATGGGTCAATAGATCCCTTGATAACATCCCAGGCGTTGAGCGGGATCCCGGGGAGGTACATTCCAAGCACTCAGACATACAAGTCAGCCTCCTGGAAAGAACCAAGTTATCTCCACCGATCAAGTAGATAATCCCAGTCTTTACGCGCGCTAGGGCATGTTCAAAATCTATGGCTTGCCAGAACTGGACCAGCATCCGCACACTCAGGTGCGGGGCAAGACTGATCTTGCTTCGCCCAATTCCAGAGGGGGAAACTGTTACTGTTCAGACGATATAGCGTCTGAGCGTTGGTCGGAAAGGAAGCACGAATTCGCCAAATATCTACCCACGTGATCAATGGTAAATCTTCCGATATCACTCTAAAGTCCGTCTTTGCAACTCGTTCATCAAGAAGTCAAGCTCCTTCAAGATAGAGCCACCGGGAGTCGAGCTGTTTTAGTTTCCTTCGTCACGGCTGCTACCGTCGACACCCTGTCCACAGGTGGACAACGCGCGTGAGAACTGGATGGGCGCCAAAGTGGACAGGAGTCCCACTGGTCAAGGACGCGGCTATGACGCACGCCTCCATCGACAAGACTGGGTGCACCCGACATTCCGTGCCTGTATCGAAATGGTGGAGCGATGTACATTCACTAGTGAGAAGTCAGTCATGAAATCGGTGAACCTTCGTTGAGTACGCAGTTAAGGACCCAGTTTCCAGCGCCCTATATATCAGGGACGGAAAATTGTAGAGAAGGGAGAGGCAGAAGGACCAAAAATGCAGTCGCTTCGCCATAGACTGGGTCTTCATGTCACGCGTGGGAGAGAACAAGACAATGCCTGTCTGCAGGGTCACCCAAGACATTTTCTCGCCAAGGTAATTCAAACAAGAGGCAAAATCGGCTCCGTTTGATGCATATGCCGTACCCCTTCGATCTCGCAGCCACGACATATCCTTGAGCGTGGCGTGAACAAGACATTAGTGATCAAATGGTCCCGATGACGCTACTTCAGCACGCATTCCGGCGCGCAGTCTGTCATCAATGACCCGCTGAACATCAATCATGACACTACCGTCTTCATTATGGGTGACTGTGGATCTCGATGCCAATGAGCATGCTCGTCAACAGACCTCCCGGACGGCACCTTGACGAGCGTATCGAGCCACAAAAATACTGACAACTTTGGACACGGTTGGCTAGAGCGTCGCTCGATATCGCGATACTTGTCTTTCGTACAACAAGGAGTGATGTAGGCCGGACCCGACCCATTCGATCCCCATAAGTAATCGCTAATTTGTAAGTCCTTCAAAAAGAGTATCTGCCCATTGTTCATTTGCTCAAGCCGTCATAGTCATCAATTCCGTCCGAATACAGGGCACCGGCTATTCTCCTCTATTGGATTGGTAAAGTAGCTATCTCGGAAGGGACCCACGGCTCGGATCGCTTGTCATCACGGACGCCCCATAGAAAGTCGATAATTAAGCTTTGCAGCCGTATAACCACCGCGGGAGGAGGCCAACGTTGCCATGAAAAGAAATTAATTTTGGGAAAAGCGATAGCAATGACGAGCTGAGACCGTTGTTCCACCGCGTGAGTCTTTTTTCGTATTAAGACAAGTCGGATCCAGAGAGGCCGGATGTAACGGGGTTACACGTCGGCTGGTAGCCGACGATAGGTGTGGGGCACACACGAGAGGGGGGTACCCTATAAGGTAATATTAGAACACAGTGAACGTATCAATTGTTGAAGACTGGTGTCTGTCATCAATTGATTGCAAGATCTTTTAAGAGGTTATTTAGGGCAGGTTAAATACGTTGTTCTAAGATGTTCTTTTAGGTTAAATGAAGAAATAAAATTCAGTTCCCATTTTGATCAACAAAAGACACGTG